CGTGCCCCTTCAGCCCCGGCGCCGCCCGCCGAGCGCGCCGCCCCGCCCCGGACGGAGCGCGGCGTGGGGCAAGATTCCTCCGCGAAGGCTGCCGGAGCGGAGCGGAGCGGGGGAAGGCCGGGGCGGCTGGGCGCTGCGCTAAACCCCGGCCCAGCCCGCCCCGCTCAGCCCCTCCTCGTCGCGGAGGGGGGCGAGCCCTTCTCGCTCAGCCGAGGGGGTTCTGAGGCACCCGGGCGGTGCCTGGGGACTCGAGCCCGCCTCACGCGGGGGGGGGCCGGGCCTCGGGCCTGTCCCTCCGGGCAGCCCGAGCTCAGCCTCCCTCAGCCGGGCTGCTCCGGGCTCAAGTCGGAGGCCTGGGCAGCAGGCTGAGGGGGCTGATCCTGCCTGGCCGGTCGAAAACGGACTTCTGCCCCAGCCGGGTCACTGGGAGCCCCCGGAGAGGGGGGGCAGGGAGGTTACTTCCAGCCCTGCCTGGTTTTAACCACCTAACGCAGGTGTGAGCGCTCCCCGGCACGAACGAACGGGAGGTTGCAGCTCTTACCGGTAGAGCGTGCGTCATATTTAGTTATAAGCCCTGAGCTGACTTGCACTGGCATCAATCGCTTCCAGTCAGCATTGGGTTCCTGGCACTGGAAAGCGGGAACCTGGGTTTTGGGGAGCACAAGTGGTCACCAGTCAGCCGGTCTCACCAGAGCCGAGCTGGCTTACACCAGGGCTGAGTCCCCACCTCGTACAAAGGAGCAGCGTCGTGCCCTGCCTTGCCTGAACGCTGCTCCTCGCTTCACAAGGAGACTTCTTCCAGAAGCAAGACCTCAGTTTAGCTCCACCAGCATTTGCATTGTGCAGAAGGAACTATGTGGTCAAACTGGAACGTTAATTACCCGTAGATCAGCAATGGTACCGTCCCAATAACCTCACAACTGAAGCCCTGGGGAGAGAAGCAGAACAGAGCCCCTTTTTTCTGAGCTGACGTCCAAAATTCAGCACTGATTTCTACCCGTTAAATTCAGCGGTTTGCAAATGGTGACAGAAATGCTACTGAATGTGGGTCTCGGGATGCTGGCAGATTTTACAGATTCCATTATTCAGCCTTTGCATATTTAATTAAGTGTTCCTATCACTCCCATCCACCTGTTCAAGCTTCGCCTCCATACCCGCATTCCCCGCACTACAAATTGCACTACTCGTGTTATTCCACTAATACGCCAGCTGGGTAGACGGTCTCCAATAGCCAGATTTCAATCAGTGTGAGTGACTCCAGAACAACTGAAAATAGAGTCTGTTCCCTCCCCCAAGCCCAGAGAGATCTGTTCTGCTTAGTCGTGGTGGTAACAGGCTCCTTCGTTCTGCGGGACTTAGAGCAGAACTACAAGGACGCTGTGCCTGCCCAAAAGAAAAAGGTCTTTCTGCTAAAGGAGTTAAACCAGTTTCCAGCTTTCCCAGCTGAGTGTCTTTCCCCTGTCCACCGCTTTGTGTCTCTTGTCTCACGCATATATGGTGCATAGGGAGAAATAGACCTGAGTGTAGTACAGGTCCTTTGGCTCTTGGACATTTTACAGATCAACAGTGGCCCCCAGGGGTCAGACAAGTGAATCGGAGACCCTGATGAAAATTTGCTTTAGACTAGATGTTTTTCCCCCTCCTTTATCCTTCTTGCCTGCCTCATTCTCTATATTTTTCAGCTTTCTGTTTCTTCTTATATAGCTTTAAAATTTTAATTTGATTCTTTTTCTCTATCTTGGAAGTATTAGCCCTTATCATCGAGGCAGGCGTGTGTCTTTATACTGTGTATGTTCTTTCTTATCAAGAGCCCAGAAGGAAGAAGTTTATTTTCAAAACTTCACATCCAGTTCCTCATAAATAGCACAGTTCTTTTTCCCCAGTTCTCAGTCTCCTAGCTTCCTGCAAATCACTTCTAAATCTTCCCCCCCATAACGCCTTTTCTCTTTTATCCATCATAACACTCATTCTCCATTAACTGTGCCACTTGTATCCTACCTCTTCCCCTGCAGCCTGCCCTCTAACCTGAATCCCAGTTGCCATATTTGATGTCCAACAACTCACAAAAGAAGGAAAAAACTGCAACAGATAGATACCATCATCCACTTTGGGACAGGGACAGGCTGAAGCTGGATGGGACAAATAGTGCAATTCCTGATAAATCTCCCAATTGCTTGAACTAAATTCTAAAATCACGTGGCTCAGTTTGAAACTTCAGTGCCATTAAAGGTGCGTCAATTGCAGAAATATCCGACACTTGAGGTCAAAATCCCAGTATAGACAGAGGTAAGTTTGCTGAGTGCATGGCAGTGGCACCAACTTACACCAGGGCTGAACTCAGTCCACCACCAGAAAAGTTTGAGACTGTTGTTAAGCAATGATAAAAATTTTTTCCTCAGTAAAAATTTATTGCTGAACATCTGGGCAATCTCACTGTGCTAGAAAAGGAAAATGGATAATAATATTTGCCTCAGTGCTGCATTTTGGATCTCATTCTTCTGGAATAACACTTCACCATCAGAAATCTCCTGAGCATATGCTCACATTCTGCAGTTTATTTTTGCTTGCTTTAGGTACTAATGTACTTGCACACTTCATGTGCAGAAGTATTTTGAGATTGTCTTAGATTTTGCTCAGTAAGTCCAAAAATGTTATTTTTAATTAGATTGTTGACCATTTTGTAAAACTTGCAATCCAGTTAGGTTAAAAAAAACCTCTAAAAATCATTTGTTGAAGTGTTACCACTAGCTTGAATATACAGTCTTGCATTGCATTAATAACTACTTAACTTCTTGCTCTTTGGGTTTTTTTATATATATTCATATTGCTACTATTCTAATCCAGTTTTATTGTATTTCATCTGTGAACAGAAAATCCATCTAAGAGGATAACAACCTACTGATGGTACCCACTAATGGAATTATTCTGTTAGCTAAAACAGTAAATGCTTGTGCTATGATGCCATAAGTCCAATACTCGGATGATCCCCCAGGGGTTATCCCATTTCTCTGGCTAGATACAGAGACACCTTCCAGCAAGGTGCCCAAGGTTAGGGTGGCCTCTTAACTATGTTGTGACCAGAACAAAGCAAAACAGAAGTCAGAAAGCCAGCAGGGTTGGCAGAAAAGTCAGTACAGATGTGGCCCGACAAATGGTGCTGCTTTCCCCTGGCAGGCAGAAAAACCTTGTAGCAACAGCAGGAGCAACAGCAGCCTTTGGGGTTAACTTCACTACACAAGGAATACAGAATACGAAGAACTTCTGTTTTCTGTATGGGTCCTGGATCACTACAGGGATGAGTCAGTGTTTGGATGTTTTACCATTAGCTACAGGGAGAGCAAGGGCAGGCCTCTAGCCTACAATTGGCAAGCAAAATTTATGAACTTTCAGGCATTTTTTTTTTAAACAAAACAATGAGAGTAATAAAAAGACATTTGAAATGAGGAAAATGTGGTTTTGAAAAGCCTTTTCCATGACCCCAAGTGCATTTACTCACCATGTATCACCTTCCCAATGTAAAAAAAAAAATCTGTAAATTTCTCAAAAGAGACAGAGAGAAAGAAAAAGGAAACATTATGTCATTTGATCCAAATGTATTCAGACATATACTGTGGACTTACTGCTGGCCTTCTTAAAGGAAATATTGATGTCATCCTGGCCTGCTTCAGACACAGCAAGATTTAAATGATACACTAGTTTAAACTTTTGGGTTATAAAATTATGCTACTTAAGCTCACTTAATACTTTTTTTTATAGAGCAAGAGAGAATACTGCCTTTAAGCAACTTTGGTTTGTATGACTTGATCAGTTAAAAAAAAATAAAAGATTTTGAAGCAGATACTGGCTTCCTGATCATATCTGACTGCATCACTGAAGGGTAAGCACAACCACACAAGTACTGTGTTGCTGTGTTGGTTAAATACAGCACAAAATTTAGGGAGATTTTGGCATGAAAGAAAGCCTACATATATATATGTGAGCAGTGATTCAGATCTTTCATTTAATCTAGGTGTTGTGAATCACCCACCAGAGGATCCTTCAGATCTCGTTTGACCAGAAAAAAGTGAAGAGAGAAGCTCATTTAGGATGAAAGACTTGTCCTCTTCCCCGGATACACTCTCTATAAGCATGTTTAAAACTAGGCTTCACCTTATCTAGAGCATAGAAAGTCTTTATATCACGAAAGATTAATCCATTTCTTAATTTTACACTCACAGTCACCATCTTTCTAACTGAAGTAGATTGAAAGAGATTTCTTTAGTAACACTGGGTATCACTGGTAAACTGAAGTATCTCAAATACAGCTGTAAGGAACTGCTCTTCTTTCCTGTGACTGAATCTCTTTCCTTACTCCTTTAAGTAAAGAGTAAGCCTCTTTAGTACACTGTGATTAAAGTCTCATTAACACTAAGAATTTTAAAAAAATCACCTTGCAAGGTCTACGTACTTCTTAAATTTTCCCATGATGGTTGAGACTGCAATAACAGGATAGCTCTGGGATAAAAGTCTGTCTTCTGTGTATTGGTGTTATGAAGCTTTGCCTCTGATGGAAAGCATGAGGAAAGAATTGCCACAGAGGGGAAGAATAAAAACTTCTAGAAAACTCCTTCAGGGGACCTTCAGCAGGTGTTACCTGCCAGATCTGCAGTTGCTCTAGAATCACACAGGTGTGTGCCTTGAATAATACAGGGCATTGCAGATTTATGAAAATGGATGTCACCCCATCATGCATAGGGTATTGTGTTTTTAGCTTTAGGTGTCTAACAGTTTATTATCAATGAGTCCTTCTCAGTACGTTAGCTTTCAGTCATTTAAAACCAGAAGGTTTCGCTCTACCAAACACAAACATTCAAGATTACAAATCAAAAGACACAAATCAAAATCAAAAATATAATTGTGAAAGGAAAGTCCTAAAAAATAAAAGTAATTTCTGAACTGGTAAACTAGTTTTATTAATACAGTCTCTAGCCCTTTCATTGAGGAAACACATTCAGTTCTGCCCCTGAAGTCATAGTCATGAAACTAAGGGTTTATAACAGCAATACTAACACTACATTATCTAATGTAATGCTCTAATAAATAATGATGTATCATGCCAGAAGGGTTTAATTTGAAACAGATGGTCTAAGGAATGGAAACATAAGCAAAGTATTTTACTGTAATCACTATCCAGGAAACAAAAGGGGATTTGATATTATTGCCTTAAGGAACTCACTCCCTCCCCTCAGCGTTTTTGTCTTAGATAACAGTACACTCTTATTTGGCTAATGAAGCACAGGTGCTGCTGATAGCTCATGACAATGAAACAGAACTCAGGCATTTTTCCTAACCCTGATTAGCAAGTGGCAATTTGCTTTTGTAACAGTGTTTGCTGCTTTTGCAAAGTTCAACTGATGTCTCTTTACATTGTTTTCTTAACTTTTTTTCTGTTTTAGAAAGGCAAATAAATTTGTAGCTGTTACAGACTTGACAGTGTTGGCTTCTGTTGCATTTGATAGTGACAGTCACTACTAAGTGCTTCATATTTAGGCACTGCAGTCTATGCCCTAAACCCAGCTCCGCTTTTAGGTGTACTGGCAAACCATTAAAAGACCTGATCTGCAAAATTCACTCAGCAGAAGAGCACTCTGCTTGCAAAATCATTTGAGGTACTGTGACATACATAATTACACAGTTTAGGAGATTTCTATATAAGAAATATAAAGGCAAAATTCTAGCTCCCCCAAAATGGATACCCTTTCCTATCTCTCTGGCAGGAGCTGTTTCAGATATTCCCTGCTTTACTTCAGAAAAATCACCCTAGGAATGAGCTTGGCACAGGCTGTCTAAACCCTGCTGTTCCTTTTTTTGGAAACAAGGTTTTAAATGCAGTGATTTCACATACAAGCTGCATTGAGGCTGTGTAGGCAAAACCCTGGGATGAAACAGTTTTTGGGGGAGTGATGCTAACTACAGGCCTGGAGAACATGCAAGAGAGTCAGCCACATACGTGACATTCTCTGCTGGCGACACAGCAGAAATAGCAGCTGCAGCTCAGATTTAGCTAGATGAGCTTTCTGAACACCACCCCTGTTTCGGAGAGACTAAGGCCCAGACCAAGCAAAGCACTTGCTTAGACTGCACCTACCTTTAAATACATGAATAATCTTCCTGAAGTCAG